TCATGCAGTAACTTACAATATTGCTCTGAGCTTGTGCGTGACAGTGATTCATGCGCATACATGTCAGTCAGTCAGCTTTATTCAGTCCATTCAGTCCACTCGAATGGGTTAAACCATAGACATTACCTAAGAAGTTCAAGTAAATGCACTAGAAATCTGCTCTCATTAAGGGTGTGCATCTATTGCATGGACGGAGAGAAAGCACTGACACCTGCAGGATTTCATCTGATGGTACTTTTTATTTAACACAAAAAAGTTAAATAAGCATATATAGTCTATCTGTTTCGTGAGCAAATAACGAGTGTAGCCTCTATATCTATTGACGTTTTTAAATCTGAAAACTACAAAAAGCAACGAAATTATCAGACATCCATGACATGTGTGGATGTTCACAGAGGAATACAACTGAAAAACAGCGCTGGTTGTTCTCTCGATACTCAACCACGACGGAATCCAAAGACGTGGGCGAAGTAATGGGTGTATTAAATTGTATCACATAATCCCGAAAAAAGGCACAAACACGGCAGAGATGGCAAGTTCAGCAGCTGGGATTAGCTGAGGTGACGTGACTAACAGACAGCAGAGAAACGGCTAGTAGTAAAGCAGCGGCAATCCACCTGTCACTCAAGTGGCCACGCCCTTAATTATGCAGAACTTTAAGGCTTAATATAATTTAAACGGATGAGTTATAAAAAAAAATTCACCCCCCTCACAGTTTTCATGAAGATCAAAACTAGCTATATAGACCAAACCCACTTTTTCCACCAGGCTGTAAACATTGTTTTCTGCTGTAAAGTTGGGCATTTTAACATGGGGGAGATACAGATTTGACTCACTTTTGCATCCAGCCTTAAGTGGCCAGTTGATGAATTACAGTTTAATTCACTTCCGTGTAGGTTTCAAGAGAGAGACAGGGAGGTTGCCGCTTGGCTGTGTCCGAAATGATGTCCCTTATACCCTTAAATAGGGCACTGTTTGCAGGAACAGCCATTTGTACTGCCATCCGAAACACAAACTGTGTTATCCGACGCACTCAGTGTGTTAATTCACTCACTGGTTTTCATTCACTCCCTCAAGTGGACTATATTAGTGGACTAATGTTGGGAATAGTGAATGAGAAGACGATCTTATGAAGTTGGGCATCAGAATGGGGAAGAAAGGTGACTTTGAACGTGACATGGTTGTTGCTGGTCTGAGTATTTCAGAAACTGCTGATCTACTGGGATTTTCACACACAATCATCTCTAGGGTTTACAGAGAATGGACCGAAAAACAGAAAATATCCAGTTCTGTGGGTGAAAATTGCTTGTTGATGTCAGAGGTTAGAGGAGAATGACTGGTTCAGCTGATAGAAAGGCAACAGTAACTCAAATAAGCACTCGATACACCTGAGGTCTGCAGAAGAGCATCTCTGAACACTGAAGACTATCTCTGAACGCAGAAGACCATCTCTGAACACAGAAGAGCATCTCTGAACACAGAAGAGCATCTCTGAACACAGAAGAGCATCTCTGAACGCAGAAGAGCATCTCTGAACGCAGAAGAGCATCTCTGAACACAGAAGAGCATCTCTGAACACTGAAGACCATCTCTAAACGCAGAAGACCATCTCTGAACACAGAAGAGCATCTCTGAACACAGAAGAGCATCTCTGAACGCAGAAGAGCATCTCTGAACACAGAAGAGCATCTCTGAACACAGAAGAGCATCTCTGAACGCAGAAGAGCATCTCTGAACGCAGAAGAGCATCTCTGAACACAGAAGAGCATCTCTGAACACTGAAGACCATCTCTGAACGCAGAAGACCATCTCTGAACACAGAAGAGCATCTCTGAACACAGAAGAGCATCTCTGAACGCAGAAGAGCATCTCTGAACACAGAAGAGCATCTCTGAACGCAGAAGAGCATCTCTGAACGCAGAAGACCATCTCTGAACACAGAAGAGCATCTCTGAACGCAGAAGAGAAGAGCATCTCTGAACGCAGAAGAGAAGACCATCTCTGAACGCAGAAGAGAAGAGCATCTCTGAACGCAGAAGAGAAGAGCATCTCTGAACGCAGAAGAGAAGAGCATCTCTGAACGCAGAAGAGAAGAGCATCTCTGAACGCAGAAGAGAAGAGCATCTCTGAACGCAGAAGAGCATCTCTGAACGCAGAAGAGCATCTCTGAACGCAGAAGACCATCTCTGAACGCAGAAGAGCATCTCTGAACGCAGAAGAGCACTGAACGCAGAAGAGCATCTCTGAACACAGAAGAGCATCTCTGAACGCAGAAGACCATCTCTGAAGAGCATCTCTGAACGCAGAAGAGCACTGAACGCAGAAGAGCATCTCTGAACGCAGAAGACCATCTCTGAACGCAGAAGACCATCTCTGAACACAGAAGAGCATCTCTGAACGCAGAAGACCATCTCTGAAGAGCATCTCTGAACGCAGAAGAGCATCTCTGAACACAGAAGACCATCTCTGAACGCAGAAGAGCATCTCTGAACGCAGAAGACCATCTCTGAACGCAGAAGACCATCTCTGAACGCAGAAGAGAAGAGCATCTCTGAACACAGAAGAGCATCTCTGAACGCAGAAGAGCATCTCTGAACGCAGAAGACCATCTCTGAACGCAGAAGACCATCTCTGAACGCAGAAGAGAAGAGCATCTCTGAACGCAGAAGAGAAGAGCATCTCTGAACACAGAAGAGCATCTCTGAACGCAGAAGAGCATCTCTGAACGCAGAAGACCATCTCTGAACGCAGAAGACCATCTCTGAACGCAGAAGAGAAGAGCATCTCTGAACGCAGAAGAGAAGAGCATCTCTGAACGCAGAAGAGCACTGAACGCAGAAGAGCATCTCTGAACGCAATCTCTGAACGCAGAAGAGCATCTCTGAACGCAGAAGACCATCTCTGAACGCAGAAGAGAAGAGCATCTCTGAACGCAGAAGAGAAGAGCATCTCTGAACGCAGAAGAGAAGAGCATCTCTGAACGCAGAAGAGAAGAGCATCTCTGAACGCAGAAGAGAAGAGCATCTCTGAACGCAGAAGAGCATCTCTGAACGCAGAAGAGCACTGAACGCAGAAGAGCATCTCTGAACGCAATCTCTGAACGCAGAAGAGCATCTCTGAACGCAGAAGACCATCTCTGAACGCAGAAGAGAAGAGCATCTCTGAACGCAGAAGAGAAGAGCATCTCTGAACACAGAAGAGCATCTCTGAACGCAGAAGACCATCTCTGAAGAGCATCTCTGAACGCAGAAGAGCACTGAACACAGAAGTGCATCGCTGAACGCAGAAGAGCATCTCTGAACACAGAAGAGCACCTCTGAACCTCTGAACGCAGAAGAGCATCTCTGAACACAGAAGAGCATCTCTGAACACAGAAGAGCATCTCTGAACACAGAAGAGCATCTCTGAACACAGAAGAGCACCTCTGAACCTCTGAATGCAGAAGAGCATCTCTGAATGCAGAAGACCATATCTGAACACAGAAGAGCATCTCTGAATGCAGAAGACCATCTCTGAACACAGAAGAGCATCTCTGAACGCAGAAGAGCATCTCTGAACGCAGAAGAGCATCTCTGAACACAGAAGAGCATCTCTGAACACAGAAGAGCATCTCTGAACACAGAAGAGCATCTCTGAACGCAGAAGAGCATCTCTGAATGCAGAAGAGCATCTCTGAACACAGAAGACCATCTCTGAACACAGAAGACCATATCTGAACGCAGAAGAGCATCTCTAAACACAGAAGACCATATCTGAACACAGAAGAGCATCTCTGAACGCAAAAGACAATCTCTGAACACAGAAGAGCATCTCTGAACACAGAAGAGCATCTCTGAACACAGAAGACCATATCTGAACACAGAAGACCATCTCTGAACGCAAAAGACCATCTCTGAACACAGAAGAGCATCTCTGAATGCAGAAGAGCATCTCTGAACACAGAAGACCATCTCTGAACGCGAAAGACCATCTCTGAACACAGAAGAGCATCTCTGAACACAGAAGAGCATCTCTGAACGCAGAAGAGCATCTCTGAACACAGAAGAGCATCTCTGAACGCAGAAGAGCATCTCTGAATGCAGAAGAGCATCTCTGAACGCAGACCATCTCTGAAGAGCATCTCTGAACGCAGAAGAGCATCTCTGAACACAGAAGAGCATCTCTGAACACAGAAGAGCATCTCTGAACGCAGAAGAGC